AGCCCAAAGAGAAAAGGAAGAGTGACAGACACATTAGTGTCAATACAAGTCGCAAATGCCTTGGTCTTTTCTCCCCAGCTCAGCTGTGATTAGGAATGATTGGTCTTCTTCACCTCATGATTCAATTTGCAAAGCACGTAGTGTCTAAAGTATCCACCATGCTGCCCTGATAGCTCACCATGGTGGACATCTCAGTGAGGATGTCCTTGAGGCAGGAAAGGACCTTGCATAGAAGGATGCATAGGAGGAGGATGCCAATCTGGAGGAGGTTTCTCATGTTTGTTTGTGCAGGAGTCATTTGTACACGTGCCCTTGTTCCATTTGACGCAGTATACCTTTGGAATGTACCCCGTCCTCTCGCCAACTGCGGGTGCAGCGCTCGATGAAGAGGCACGGAGGGTCCTGGCGACTCGTTCATGGTTGGACTCGAGTCGCTCCCTATCCAAGTAGCGGCGTACTGCAGTCACTAGGAAGTCGTAGGTCTTCTTTTCGGACCCTTCCTCAGCACGGTGATACTCCTGCAGATCGTGCGCGATGGCTTTGCTGTTTTTAACTTGGTTAAAGAACAGAGTTTCCAGAATGCTGACTTCGGGCACCTTTGGAATTCCAGCCATGACTTGATCCCAGTTACTGATAAAACTACGAAGGTTGTCACTCTTGAGCTTGACACTGAAAAGGTCCTGTAGGGAGGATGTCGCTCCATGTTTGATGTTGGTACTAAAATGTTCATGCATCATAAGTAGTACCTGGCGACTGGCGACCCCTTACATACCTGTGATTGGTAGCTTCAGTCTCTTTATAAGTGTCAACCTTTCGGGCGAAATCGCCGGTGAGAATGTTGGTGAGTGCTGACAACAATTTTGCGTCCAGTGTTGTGAACTTGCCGACATTCCGAAGAGCTCCATTGTTCGGCCTTCCTTCCAATTTCACTGATCCAATCAAATGCCTTGTCCGGGTCGGTTGATGCAGACATGACGGCTTCCCTCGTACGGATTCTCCAGTTCCTTTAGGATTCGGCATGAGGAAAAGCTGGCACTTTCACACTGTCTGCCTCTTTGACCCTATTCTTGTCATTAGATTGGTCCTTGGGGTTACCAAACATGGTTCTCATTCTTCGGATGAATTTGCGGTCACTGTCATCAAAGTCACTCCCATCATCGTCCCCATCATCATCTCCATCCCCAGGCCCTCCTCCCAGTGGGCGTCGCCTCCCCGAAGGGTGCTTCTTCCCACGCTTGTCCTTTTCTCGCTTCTGCCCATCACTCCCTTTGGAGTCTTTGTCATCATCTGGAGGGTCAGGTCCGGGTGGCTTACCCCCTGCATCCGACGGCGTAAGGCTTGTTGGCGGGTAAGTCGGAGACCTGAGACCTGTGATGTCCGTCACTGGATCAAATGCATCGACCAGTGCGTTGCTGTCTGTTCCAAGCATTTCCCATATGTCCTGACTGGGCACAGCGGGTTTGGGTGCACTGGCGGATGCAAAGGCACTCAATGGAGCAGTCATCTTGACCTCAGTCGATGGCGGCATCATGGCAGTAGTGGTTTGGACAATTGGTACAGGCAACGGACCTAGAGTATCTAGGAGTTTGCTCATCCTCATGTTCATGGATTCAGTCTGCAACTGTTGGGCCCTGATTTGCTCACTCTGTTGCTTGATGATGGACTCAAGTTGGGATAGTTGCATTCTCCGGCTTTCGTCCTGTCGTTCATAGTGATCTTTCAGTGCCTGGATCTGCTGGTCCTTGGTTGCGTTTGACTGTCTGGCGTTTCCGTCTAAAACCCTTTTGTACACTTCCCCTTGTTGTGCGAGTTCCTCATGATATTGGTTCTCTCGACCCTTTGCAAGCTTCATCATTTGATGCATCCGGGCGCTTGCAGCTTCTTCCTCGGCATGAAACCTGCCGCTCATCTCCGATACCATCATCTGAACCACGCTCTCGGTATTGGCCAGAGCCTCACGGTGACGTGCTTCAGCGACCTGCCCTACCATCTGTGTAATTGCAGGGTCATGAGCATTCACGTGACGTACACTTCATTGTTCTGAACTTGTTGAAGGTTCATGGTGTTGTTCACTTCGGTGGATTCATGATGATGCACTTCAAGCTTGTTCATATGTACATGATTGGAGCTGGCAGGCATGCCCTCCCGGGATCCGTGAAAGTCGTATCCTCAGTGTGAGAACCTGGACGCACCACTTTGGGGCATAACAGCGCCTGGTGGTAGCGGGATCTTAACCTCACGCTTATCGCTTCGGGAGCGTTCAGAGGGAGTCTTAGAATTGGTGTGGATTGGAACGTCACTCACAGTTTTGTCATCATCTGCGTCCTCGATTGCCATGGCTTCACGGGTTCCGGATGGGCGAGTGCCTTCTGGCGATGGTTTGCCAGAAGGGGCAGACATCTAGTGACAAAAGGAAGGTATGGGGCGATACGGCTGATAACCTATACTTACAGGCCACCAAACACGCACACTGTTTTGGTCTTGAGCCATAAGGTCAAAGTATGAATACATGCTTACAACAGGCGCTAGTTACAGGGAGGTATAGGACAGTAGTGGTTACTTTCCTGTAACAACAAATTGAAATGCAAAAAGTTTGAATTTCCAACTTTCCTGGTCAAGCTTTTTTTGTTCACTTGGAGTCGCACATATCCACCGTTTTTGATATTTTTCAATAATATGAATCAATCTTATGCTAGCCTGAATGACTCATGTCTCAGAAGCCTGCAGGGCCGATGTCTCATTAGCCTCCAGGGCTCATGTCTCAGTAGCCTCAAGGGCTCATGCTTTGCTAGCCCCCTGGGCTCCAACATACTGATCACATATTAGGATTTAAGAACATGTAGCAGCTTCATGTAGATTAGTCTTGTCAGGCTTTGGCACCAGAGATTCCACACTTTAGCTACTTTGGAGGGATTTTGAACTTATGTAACTTACGATGAACTTACGAGTAACTTATGAAGTTAGGTTTTGGAGGCTATGTTAAGTTCATCGTAAGTTCATCGTAAGTTCATTGTATCTTTTTGTACCTTTATTTGAACGTTTTTTTTGTTTTCTATGTTATTCATTGGTTTAAGTGTTTTTTTCGAAGTCAAAATTAAAAAAATCATGCTGGGTTGATATTTTGATTGTGCAGGAACGATCGGCTTAGCATTCATTTTTGCATTGGGCGATGGCTCGGGTGAACCGCGTTTAATTGTTGAGCCGTTATCTTAACAGCCAAATTCCAGTAGCATCTCTTCGAATTAGTCGATAGGGCTCTTGGCCTTTCAACCGTTCGATTGGCAGCAATGCTAAGTGTGTAGGTGATTTTATCCACTTAGGAAAGGTCATCATGGATTTGGATTCTCGGTGTAGAGGAGCTACCAGAAGATATTTGTCGTGGCCGGAGGACACACCTCCTTGCACCTCCACATAGCAATCTTGCGACATGCGCAAGTGAGCACCATTTTGATACGATACGCAGCCAATCTCAAAACCAGAGGAAAAGGTTGCATTGGTTTGCAGCTTGAGCCGCTTCGCCATGCATGGGTGCTCACGTGGAACACCAATTGTCTGACCAAGGAGTCTCTCCGCTGGCTCGTAGCCAGACAACTCCATTTCTGTCAGATGTAGAAGTACGCTCTTGGCGTATCCTTCCAGCCTGGAAATTTTGGCGATGCTTTCTTTCTCCAACATGGCAATCGATGAGGCGATGCCGTTTCCTCATCTGTTCGGACAGATGCAAGGCATAATGCGCCCTCGGCCTCATGACAGATGCGCCATACGCTTTCTGAAAGGCCGAGAGATGTTTGCATTGCAGCCCCAAAAGATGTTCCCCTTGGGAAACACAAATTTTAGCGCGTTGCAAACACCGAACAACATCATACAATGCAGAGATTGACTGCACAGCGTCATCCATTGCATTATCTCCGTGCAGCACTTCGACAGAGAAAGCCCAAACTAAAGGAAGAGCTATCCTGCATGCGCTGGCATCTCCACGGTAATCCATGTCATATTTGAAGAGTTTTTCACTGCAAACGAGGTGTGGTTGTTGGTCACCTTGTGAAGCAGTCCATCCTATGGCTACCCATCGTTGCAGGATTTCCAGGGTGTAACCGCAATCTTTAAATTGTGTGTACCAGAGACCCAATTCTTGCGCTACCATTCCGCAGCTGTGGTATTCATGCATTGCGTCCAGATATAAGGAATCTATATAACCGAATCCAGTGCTGCAACACAGGTGAAGCTAGCGCTGACTTTTCCAGGTTGTCAGCGTTCCAGCCTAACATGGTCTCGGCATCCTTCTTCTCCTTTTTGGTTGCGCACATGGCGAAATGATTGCGTATATCCATCAGGCCTTCGTCCGTTTGGCGCACAAACTTGGACGGCGACATCTCTGAAATATCTGTATAGCCTGGTGGACATGCGCGTCCCAAGCTGAGAACATTCGAGCAGTGACAACACGGTTTCATGGCTGCAGAGCCCTTGGCCCCGATCACACTTCTCAATCCTTCATGGTCATTCAAGAGAAGGACGCGGTCGATGAAGACCAAGTGGCCACAAGATTCAATGCATATCGGCAAGCCACATTCGGTCTCCACGTAGATAGCTTCTAGCAAGTGACGCATGATTTCCGCGTAGGAAGTTTCGTGAGCTGACACATCGTCCGCTCTTTGCGCCAAAATGTATGTATCTTTGTATGTATGTATGTATGTATGTATGTATGTATGTATGTATGTATGTATGTATGTATGTATGTATGATTATGTATGTATGTATGTATGTATGTAAGGTCTCGGCTTAGGGGGTGAGCAGTTCACCAAGGGTTTCCCCCCGCCGTGTTTCCTAAGTGGGTTTGGTCTCCACCCACGGGTGCCATAGGCTTTGCGCCGCTGGTCACCTTCTACGTGCGCTGCAGCTCTTCGCGTGGCGCGAGACCAATTTTCTCTTCTACACCATCATCTTGGACTTTTAGGCGGTGATCGGGCTTGCACCGTCTTCTACGTCCTGGTGGTTGGTGCATGGGGAGCTTGCATTTCTTCCTCCTCGCCTTTGCCTCGGTGATCTTTGGGGACAAGGGCAACGGCAAGTGCTACGCAGCGGCGAGCGTTGAGGCCGCAAAGGGCCTCTGCCAGGAGAGCCTGGTATTTGCACAAGCAGGGGATCCTTCCACTTGCTTGGCCTGGGCTGCGCAAGGTTTTTCAAACCCTTGCCGTGCACCACTCCAAGGACCCCTCCTTCCTGTCGCGTATTTGGGGCGCCATGTCAGGCGGTGCGCAAACGGGATGGAAGTGCGGTACCTGCAAGAAGATGAGGTCGCCCAATGCGTGGTATTGCGATCTATGTGGATAGAGCTGGGAGGTGTGCCAAGTTCCAGCTGGCCACACCAAAGCACAGAGTTTCTCAGCCCATGGATCAGCACAGCATTGGCAAGACGCGCATCAACGTACAAAAAGTCCGCGGCCCAAAAGACAACGGTCTCACAAGAAGCAAGCTGTGCCCCAATGGAATCAGCAAGGACAGCCACATCTACGCCAAGATCAAGGAGGTGCACCATGGTCTGGGCCTGGCTCGTGGCCTGCTGCCAATCAATCAGAGGGCAAGGGGCTGTGCAAGGGCTTTCCGCCGTTCCAAATGAACATTGCTTCTCCGCCGCCGCCTCCCCCGCCTATGCTTATGGCCCCCCCAGTTCCCCATGGGGTGCCATGGATGCAACAACCTATGCCTATGATGCCAGTTCCCTACATGCCGCCCACGGTCGAGCCGCATGTTGCTGCTCAGTCATCAAATGCAGTGGAACCATCAAATACTGCGGAGGCTTTGCAGGCGGGAATGACTGCTCAACGAAAGCTTTCAAAAATCATGAAGGCGGTCAAGAAGGAGGACAACCTTTCTCCAGAATTTCAACAGTTGGTTCATACCGAGTTGAAGCACGAGGAGAAGGAAAGCACAGACACCCTCTTGGATACTGTCAAAGAATTGGGTCATGCCAAAGATGCGCTCCTAGAGGTAGAAAGTGCCCGCCTTCAATTGTGGTCTCAGTGGCGTGTATTTCTGCAGCAATCAGTCATCAAGTGGAGGGAATACACGACCCAATTCCAAACTTCCGAAGCAGCCTTTTTTTGCCAAGATGCAAGAGGCTACCAATACCTTGAGGCGTGCACAAAGAAAGGTCGATTGGGCCAAAAAGCGCACCGATACCATTGGAGTCGATGGTGTTGCCCAGGTGATATCAGACGACGACATGGACGAGCAGGAGCCCAAGGACGAAGAGGAATTGCCACGGGACGAAAATGCACAAAGAATCCAAGAAGGATTGAACCAAGTTGTCACAAGCCTGGTGGATCTCTCGCACAATGCGGAGAAGTTGGAACCCAAACCCAAAAGGCCACGCACCAAAGAGGAGGAAGATATTGCAGGGCCACGTGCCTCGCAACCGTCTATGCAGCCTTTTGCGAAGGCCGACGCGCCGTGACCACAGAGTACGACCGTCAGAGGCCTGGGCTTAGTGACAGCAGTCATGCTGTCTTCCTTCATTGGAGGCATTCAGTTCTACAAGAATCGACGTTTATGTCGCCCTGGGCAGCAATTGAGGTTGCTTTCGATCTCGCTGCAGAGCTTGGCACCTCAAGTCGGATAAGGGTAGACGAAATTACTTTCTCCAGTACTACGTCTTGCCGGAAGCAGGTTAGTTTCGATGCCAACGTCCTTGTCTTTCAGGGGAAAGAAAGTGGGAAGTTCCACCCCCACTGGACCTGCATCAACGACAGACCAGCTCGGCAAGTTCCACAAGCACCACGAGGAGAAGATTCTGGTCGCTCAGCTACCAGTCCACAGGGCCAAGGATCTTCGGCTGGAAGTACCCAGACCACGCATTTCCTTGATAGACGCCTACCAGATGAAGTTCCAGGATATGTTCACCACTTACAACACTTGTGGCGGGATAAGCTCATACGGCTACCTCCTGGACAACCTTATCGAGTGAGGTCCTGGTACATTCATCACACCCATCAGCAAGTCTGGAAAACTCCAAGGTATATTGATTTGCATGGAGATGGAACATTCTGGCATCGCGATCTTCTTGTGCAGTGGCGAGACCAGCTACACAATGATGAAGTCTTGAACATTGCAGTAGTGTTCCCAGCCCTACGTGCTCTTCAGCATACTCATCCAGTTCATGCTGACTTGATTTTAGTGCAGGGTGGCCTCAATTATTGTGGAGGTCTCACGACAGTGTTTCCACCAGGTGCACATGCAGACGCCAGCTATACTTGGGCGGCCTCATATCCTCGACATGTAGGAGGTGTTGGCATTTTGGCAGGAGTTGATGCGGAAAACTACCTGCAAGCCCATGTGTGCGATGTCTTCCATGGTGGTATTACTATCCCAACGACAAATGCGCCCTCGCACTGGATGTCCAATGGTCACTCTTTTGTTGCGGTCTTCCAGGGCATGCAAGGTCGGGTAGAGATCGAGGAACTCTTTCCCAACAGTCCGACCACATACCAATCGGTACCTGTTCAAGCGCCACCAGCGACCACTGTGAGTTCTTCAGAGGAGGCTCATTTCATCGAGGAGGATGCAGAAGAAAGTCCCCCACTTGAAGAGTCCAGTTTTGATGAAGAAGACTTGCAGGGCGTTCAGGTCAACCAGATTGGCCGACCCATGCATCATTGCTTCCTCAGATGGCGTACGTATAACTTGGTCCTCTTTGACATGGTCCACTCCATTGGCCTACATCGTGACCTTGCTGTTGGTTATCATCGGATGCTTGCTCATTTGGTTGATCAGCACCCCTCGGAAGAAGTCGTCATTTTGCAAAGGGTTGGAGACATCCCATTGGCTTCCACAGCCAAATTAGTTTTGCTTGATCTCACTTATGCGACGCATTCACTTGGGCCAGGAGACGTGATGCGAGATGTGCGACTACTGCCTCCGAGATTGACTCGAATGGGCTTGCTTCAAACACTTCGTTTGCAAGATGACTGCGTCTCTCCTCATGGTGATCATTGTCGTGTTTTCCTCAACAATGTGTTGTGGCCGTTCTCTGATACGGGAGCAAGAGACCTGCAGCACGGTAGCTATCTTCGTATCCAGCTCTCACAAGATCATGAGCGTGCCCAGGTTGCCCAGGCCAGCAAAAGACAGAAGACCTCTTGTGGCCTTTCGAATGAGCAATCTAGTTTGCGTCAACGTTCTGGCCCCAGCTCTGGTTCAGCCCATGGCCCGGGCGACACTGCTTCCTTCTTTCAGGTCCAGTCAGTGACTACTGCAGACATGACACAGTTTGATGCAAAGATGTTTCAGTATAGCGCTACGTCATCCAGCTTGGCTATGACACACCGGCCTGCCACGCAGAGAGGTCCTCCTAGAGTTCGGCCACAGCAAACCAACTCCAGGGAATGGCTGCCCAAACACGTATGGCTTTTCGAGAATGTGCACTACATATTGCCGCAGAACAACAGTCCATGTTGACGGTCGCCACATGGTTCCTTCACCATGATAGGTATCCCAGGAACTCGGAGTCCCGAGTATTGCACTTGGATGGCAATTACCTTTGGTGGTTTGATGATTGGTGTGACCTGTGGGCTGATACCATGGACCCTACGCAAGATGCACAAGTGTACCTGGTACAACCTGCTCCACCCACTGACCCTTTGGCTCACCCACAACACCATCTGTTGTTGGTCCAAGGGCAAGGTGATGGAATTCCAGTCTCCTCACGGCTCTGTTTGAGCATGAGACCAACCGGAGAGTGTGGAGTTTTGCCGCAATATTGCCAGCCTTTGCGACTGCTTTCGAGGTATTTGAGGTCCTGGGCATTCAACGATGGTGTGATCGGCGTCAATGTCTACTCCACATTGCCGGACTTGAGGTTCCTCGGAATGAGCTGACCCAACTGCAACATGGAGACGGAATTGTCGTCACCATCTTGCCTCAGCAACTACCGATTGAACCTGATGATACATCGCTTATGCAGACTGATCGTGGCGATACCATCTCTGCAGTTCAAGCTCAACGGTCCACTGCGGATGCACTTGACTTTGCTGATGCAACTTCACCAGTTCTTCCTGGCCTCACTGCCCTACCGACGCCTGTACACATGCGATGGCAGGATGCGGTGGCTGACTATTTCCACGACGAGGCTGTCATTGAATGTGAGGAGGAAGGGTCTGTCTTGTACATCTGGACATGGTACATTGATCATCAAGCATTTCGGCATTGCCCTGAGCCCAAGATTGTTCGCATCGGTTCTGCTCGACATGAATGGCTGGAGAAGATTTACGAACCTTGGCTCTCCCTTTTGAACCCTCGGGCTGTCACCAACGTGGCTGTTGTGCACCCCATTCCGCCACATGACGCTTTGAGGATTGAAACTCTTCACATCATGATTGAGCAAAACCCCTTGGAGCCAAGAGCAGCCGCTGTATTGTCAGCAATTTTTCATGAGGCTGCTGCAAATCGTCTTTTACAGGCAGCCTACTCTTTGCCACGGTGGTTGTGTACTGAGGATATCATCGACTTCCTTCAGCTCAACCCCATTTGCGAGATTCAACGATGCTCCGCTCGTGCTGGTCGCATCCCGTTTGAGCAGTTTGTCAGACATGACATCCCGTCTGCCTTGAGCATTGAGCTACACGTCAGGCCAGTCAGATGCCTTGGGGATGATGAAGCTGCAAGTTCTGCTGAGCCGTTCGTGCCTCGACCTCTACTGCCCACCACTGGCCGATCGCTCATGCAGGTTAGTCGGCGATGGCAGCGACACCGGCAATTCCAACAACATGATGAACCACCACCACCGCAAGAACATCTTTCAGATGAACATCATGATGTTCCAAACCGCGTTTCAGCATGCGCCTCACACCCCACTCCGCAGTTGCCTTTGATGGCACCAGTTTGGCCTACACCATGGACTGCTTTGGAAGAAGTCTGGACCTTCTACTTTGCGAACCAGATGCAGCACCCAGATACACAGATCACTGCGGAGGTCTGGTACTCAGATCACTTGCGTCGGCCCTGGTCCGATTCTGGACGCACTGTTGCACTTTACGCAATGGATTTCCCGACTACTGAATGTGTGGTCTGATTGGATTCTTCCTGGTATCCCGTATGACATCGTGGTGGTATGTCCAACGCTCCTTGGAGCCAATGATGGCATCCACTTTCATGTGATGATCCTGCAGCAGCCACAGCCGACTTCAAAATCGATTCTGCTCACAGTCATGGACCAGTACACAGACCCTTGGGCACCTGGATTGATCTCCATTGTGGTGCCTAATGCCATTGACCACTGGATGCTCTTGCACTGTGCAGTAGTTGAGTTTCAATGCCCACCTGCAGTTCCACATACTCGGTGCTACTCTTTCTGGGGCAATACGGATCTTACGGCTGGAAATTTGGTTCCGGTTCGGCATGGCATGTGTTTTACTGTTACAGTAGAATCTGCTGCAAATCCTGGCGACGCTGACCCTGTTGCACATGATGAGCAATTTGGTCCAGCTACTCCTGAAGTGACAAGTCTGCTTCAGCTGCGAGCCACTTATGGGCGAGTCCACCGTGTGACCGCGATGCTGAAGCAGCAGGCCACTGACCTCCAAAGCACCCTCGAGAAGGCTTATTCGCTTGCATTCTTGGTGGTTAGGAGATGCTCTTTACCTACGGGAGGTGCGAGGGCACCAGCACCACCCGTGGAACGAATTGGCAGATCGCATCGCCAAGTTTGCCTTGGACAAAGAGCCCTGTGATCCCCTGGCTGTACACTTGTGGCCGTTGCATGCCTTAGCTAGGCTTCAAACGTGCCCTCGCCCTTTGTTGGCCGCCTTTCCTCCCTTGTGTGATGGACAGGTGATGCAATTTCCATCGTCGTTGAAGAGGATTGGATTGCCTTCGCATGCCCCGCCATCCAAGCATGAGTCTTTGCCTGCTTCCTGGACTTTGGATTGCCGTTTCATGACTGCAAACGTTCTGGTTTTAGACTCGCAAGTTTCTCAACGAGAACATGGACGACGAGTTGGCTTGCGTACGCAACGGCTTGACGCACAATGGCACGAATTGCGCATCAATATAGTTGGTCTTCAAGAAGCGAGAACACCCAAGGGCATTTTTCATTCTGAGCACTACCAAATTTGGTCTTCAGGAGGAGAAGGACCGGAAGCAGCTCGTTTGGGGTGCGAGCTTTGGTGTCACCGTACTTTGGCTCTAGCAACCACAAGGGAGCACAAGACATTGGCCTTAAGTGACTTCCGTGTGGTGGTGCAACATGCTGATGCCAGGCGGCTTTTTGTGCGCTTTGAGAGCAGTGCCCTAACCTTCACGGTGGTAGTATTTCATGTGCCTTGCCTCCAGAGTGCCCAGGTAGGAGATCATCGACCCATCACCAGAGTGCAGCAATGGTGGGAAGAAACTGGGCAAATTTGCGACAGAGTACTTCAAGACGACCTGGTATGGTACTTGGTCGATGCCAATGCCCCTTTGGCAACAGCTGAAACAATCAGTTTCGGCTTGATGCATGCTGAGCCCAGCAACAAGCAGGGAGCCCTTTTTGAAGAGTTCCTTTTGGAGCGCCAGTTGGTTGTCCCTTCCACCTTTGCACGGTACCACACTGGAAGTTCAGAAACCTGGACTCACCCAACAGGCAAACGTATGAGGAGAGACTACATCATGACCTCTCCTGCGGCTGCACCGTCCACCATTCGGACGTGGGTACAGGTTGACCATGACACGACATTTGACCACGAGGATCATCTTCCTCTTTGTCTTCATGTACAGGCTGCCTTTGAAGCTCACGCCGCTGCCCCCAAGCGCATCCGTTGGGACACAGATCGGCTACGTGATCCAAATGCCGTTGCGGCTTTTCAAGCGGCTCTCAGCACATTGCCATTGCCTACTTGGGACGTTAATGTAGACGAACACTGCCGCCTCTATGAGACCAACCTCCTGCAAATTGCTAGGCAGCACTTTGAAAGGAGAGACAAGAGTAGGACAAGACCTCAGCTCACTGCCAGCACTCTCCAGTGCATTGCCTTCAAACGTCACCTGCTTGACTGTGGCCGAGCTTGGGAATTGATGCAGGATCAGGATCCGGTCTTCCGCTCTGAACTCCGAGAGGTGGAAAAGGAAGTCAAAGCCAGAGTTCAGCAAGATCTTGGGATCCACTATGACCAGTTACTGGTGCGCCTACAACAAGCTGGAGATATGCACAACCTCAAGCTTGTCTTCCAGCTGCTGACTCGGTTTGGCTCCAGACGTATCAAAAATGGCAACAAGGCGAGACCGCTTCCAGCCCTGCGCAAGAAGGATGGCACATTGGCCACTACCTTCACTGAGCAGCAGATGATCTGGATGGAACAGTTCAGTGAAATTGAAGCTGGTGTCCCAATGCATTGGAGCGAACTACAACGATTAGATCGACCTGGGTTGGGGCCTCCCCGGGACATTCACTGCCAGGAGCTTTTCCCATCGCCTTGCTTTGCACCCGCGTTGGAACTTATGAACATACATTTAACTTATGGAAGTTGTAAGTTAACTTATTCCATGGCATTAAAAAATATGTTGATAAGTAGGGTTGTAAGTTCATAAGTTCTTGATAGTGTTTTTAAGAGGTTTTTTGATTTTATGGAAAATTGGTGATTGTTTGGATTTTTTGGTTGAGAATTTTGTTTTCAAGGCTGCCGCGTCTGTGTGTTGTTCTTCATGTATACCGTTTGTTTTTGTTATTTACGTTGGATAGAGGAGAATGAATTTGATGTGTAAGTTATATATCTGTGGTTTCGTTTAATTATTGATCGTCGCAAAGCCCTTTTTTTTGCGTCACTGCAGCAACCAAAGTGAGTCTGGATCATCATTTCGATGATAGGCAGTCGGCTGCGCAAATTTGTTGAAGTCATTGTCGCTTCAACTAATGCAGTTGAATTGTCGGCTAACTTGGGCTTTTTCCAGTAGGTGCGCCCGCGCTCGGCGGTTGCCACTGGTTGCAGCAAATTGCACAGCAAGAAAAAATTGCCACTTTGTTCAACTCCAGCCAGGATTTGACAGGCAGTGGTGTTTGACAGCAAGAGATATTGGCCTTTCCCGTACTTCACGCCTTCATGCTGCAACGTCGCAGACAGCCACGCAGGCTCTTGGGACGCGGTTACTGCGCCAACGGCGGCACTTTTCTTTTTCTTTCCAAGCAGCTTGGTGTTTAAAAAGTCTTTTGGCAGTGGGTCATCGAGTTCATGTGTCACCAGTTCCAAAAGAGCGGTTCTGGCAAAGCTGCTCTTTCCCGGTTGGCCGACCTTGCTGCTGCAGAGACTCTTGTAATGTCTATGTTGTCTTTCCATAGGAAACGCATCCAGGAACAGATTCATTTTTTTGATCTGTTCAGTGATGTGGAGGCTGTAATGCACCTTTGGTCTTTGTTGATCTGGATACGCCTCCTCAAACGCTGTCATATGCGCTTGTTGACGTCTCAGCAGCGTGCTGTGTGATGGCAGATCGCGTTTTGATTTTTGGAGATAGGACCACTTCATAGAGTTTTTTCAAAGAATTGAGCACCGGTGTCAGGCGTTCAATGCGGCCTCTAAGCATATCTTCTTGGAATGCGATGCACAGTGGAAGTGTGCAGAGGCAAGATTGACCATCTCCTCGGAAATCTTGATGCAGTTTCCAAAGTTTGTCATCAAACAATTGCAGCGGACTGGGAGCAACAAATTGGCCACCTTTCGTGACTTCCCAGCCAAGTTTGACGTAGGTTTGGATTTGTTGCAGCGTTGCAATTTTTTCCGTGGAGAGGACGCTGAACCACAGACCCAGTTCGTGGGCGATGAGCCCATTGCTAAAATAATGGTGAAAGGAGTCATACATGATTTCTTCTATACTAAACCATCCTTTTAGTGATGGTCGCAGCAATGGTCCTTCTTTCATGGTTTCAAATTTGAATCCCAAGAATTTCTCAGCCTCCTCCAACTTCTTTTTGTTGGGTTGGCTTTCCAGTAGGCGCGCAGCCTCTTCCACCATGCCTTGCGTCATTGGCACAAACATCTTGGGATCGCTGCATTTGATGTCAATATGACCTGGCACGGCTGTGTCGCGATTCAAGGCCAGCACGTTCTTGCACTTCACGCACGGCTTGATGGCTGCAGCGCCCTTGCAGCCAGTTGCTGCTCTGATGCAATCATGATCCGCGATGAATTGGATTTTTGGGATGAAGAGGAGCGTGGGGTCCCCTTCGATGTCTATGCACAGGCCCATGTCCACTTCTTGCTGATATGCCTCCATGAGCGCAGACAACACTGCGGCCAGACCGCCGCGGCACTTGGCCACATCACTTGCTTTGCAGATGCATAATGTCAACCACATGTTTTCCAAGTAATGAACTGGAAAATCGAGGAAGAGACCATATATCAGCGTCGCTTTTCTTGTTGCCACTGCATTCAGTGTGTTGCCTCCTTGCGTGTCATCTGCGTACAGAACAAACCGCACGTGGCGACTGTCAAGATCCCGGATGCGCCGCACGCTCTCAGCGTAGAACGGACAAGTGTTGACTTTCGTCTGCACCATTTCTGCCAAACTCATGTAGTACACCGTCAGCACACCGTCATCTGTGGCAACGCGCAGTTCACGCAAGCATGGCAAAGCTTTGGGATGCACTTGAGACAAGCGTGAGCAAGTTTTCCTGCCAGCATCGTCTTCATGCAACAATGCGACAACTTCACGGCACTCAGCCTGGGTCAGGGTTCTAATTTGTCTGAGCGCGGAGAATTGCTCCTTGGGCGGCGCTTGCGGATCTAGTCTACGACGTTTCATGTTGAACCAAAATGGCTATAATGAAAGTGACACGAACTTGTGTGTGATATGATATGTTTATTATGTTTTCGTTACTTAACTTATTCACTTGTTCATGCGTTCCTATTTCACATTTGACATGTACACTATATCACATATGCAAACCGTGTCAGTTCATATATATATGTTTGTGAGACGATCCGGACGCGTCGTTGCTATGCTCTTCTTTTTTGGCCAAGAGCGCGAGTGAACGATTCGTCTTTTTTGCATTGCGTTTTGCAACACATGGTATGAATTGGCATGCGGAGTCATTGTCTCTTGCGTATACATTAGCGTTTTCCATAGCGGCACATCCAGAGAAGCGACGCCCTCGCAGGGCGTCTGCTTGCTTGTCTTCGCACGCAGCGGAACCAGCATTTTATCCACATATCGGCAAAAGTATATAATGTCTTATCTCTTTAATCTTCTTCTATTTCTTCAACTTTACGCTTCTGGGCCGCTTCTGTTAAGGTTTCTGACAAAGGTCGATGTAGCTTCTCCTGGCGCGCAGCGGCAGTAGGCGCTGCTGAACAATTAGGCATTTGGTTGCACCGTCGAGAATTCTTCAGCAAACTGCATGGCAACGTTTGAAAGACGCCAATGCTTTTCTTTCCTTTAAACACTCGTATCAGACCAGGATTATGACCTAGCCGCGCCCAATTCCATTTTTTGCAACTGGTCGTCATGAAGCTGCGGAGCCAAAGAAGCTGCGGAGACATCGTGAGATCTGATGTTAGTTAGTTTCGAAACTGCCAGCAGATATGCATCATTTTAACTTTTAATGCTTGTGTATTCCCAGTTTTATTTTATATGTTTGTGTCTGTCCATGGATGATGTTATGATACAGATAGAGCCTGGCTTGTTCTTTGTGTTTGTTTTTGATTCATATGTCCTTAATGTATTTCAATTTTGGATATGATTTCACCAATTCCCATGTTTACTGACGACACTATTTTCCATCGCAGATCTTGTCCCCGAGTTCCTAAAAGCGGCGTGTTGAGTTCGAACACGTCAAAATTAATTTGCACGGCCACCTCACTTGGCAACATGAATGTCAGTCACACAGACTTCACGCTGCGGACTTCGCGCGGCGACGCTTCGGCTTGGGCTCTTCGGCATTCTTGGCACCGTCATCCTGTGTGTTCTCTTTGGCCTTGCTCTTGGCAGCAGCTCGCTTGGGAATTGCCGCGCGCAGCGCTTTCGCAGCTTCAGCATTTGTTTTCATAGCCAACTTCATCTCTTCGCCAGAGAATGGCAAAGACTCAAGCGCCACGCAGGCCTCCGGAGAGCCATTTTTGTTAACGTCCTGTTGATTCATAGCCTCACGGGCAGCTGTGCTCCATGGGGTCACCTTTGCCAATACGTCCTCTGCGCATGTGAAGACTCCTGGCTCAATGCTTTCGCGGTGTGGCTCAGCCTTTTCCATCAGCTTTGTCAAACTTGTGGCTGCGGCTGTTAGTGGACCTACCGCTCTGGCAGCCAGGTTCGCAATCTTCTCGTTGCTTTGCAGCATTTTCTTTCTTTCTCTGGCCGCCTGCTTCTCATCGTTCTCCTCTGCTTTTGCTTCAGACTTCTTACCTTCACCTTGTGCTGCCATTGGCACGTCCAGTTCGTCAGCATCAGCGCCTGCATTTTTCTTGCCCTTAGCTTGCTTCTTTTGCGCGCATTCTTTTTCCTTTTGAAGCAGCTTGGCTTCTTCCGTTTCAAACGTCTCCTTCCAGCGCAGCTTCTTGATAGGAAGTTTATACACCGTGCACCCGTACTCTTCAGATTCCTCCGAAGGCTGCTGCCTAATTACGGATTCTTCCCATCCCTTTTTGAGCCACACAGACAAAGGCAAAGATACAACATCACAGATGCTACTGAATTTGGATATGGCCCGCTCACACAATGTCGTGAGCATGTTTGCCCGCACAGTCGTCCACATGAGCCTGCCCTCGGATCTTTGGCCTTTGCAGCGTGCAGGCGCTTGAAGAAAGCTTCGCACTCTGAGTTTTCCCACTCATTCAGAGGTTTATGCTCACCCAGGTTGCGGCGAACATTTCTTTCGGCACTATCGCATGGCGTACATTTGAAGGTACGGCCATGCATCCTTCCCGCAGAAGGATCATACTTCAAGCCACACAGTTTGCACACCATGGTCACAGGGCCCGCTGGAACTGCTGCTGGCACCTCAGCCATATTGAATCAATTTAATCCGGTTTCGTTGTATACGGCTGCCCAACCCCACACCTCAGAACCCAAATGGCTACAGAAAAAGATCATGACACATGCTTCACCCATGCAACAAACAGAGAAGACACATCAAACTAAGTCATTTCCCTTTCCATCAATTGACCTCAAAAATGCCCCGCAAAAGAGCTGATGAGTTTTGAAAAACTTTGAAAATTACACTTTTGGGTGGAGACGCCGCGGACAATGCACTTTTCCAACATGCGAAGGCCGCGGACAAGTCGCGGATATCCAATACTACAAACCCTATAGCGCCGACCTCCAAATGCCATCTCGCGGACAGCGCGGACATACCAGTCTTGCCTTGCGGGCTAGCATTCTGCCACCGCGGACACACCGCGCGGACAACAGAAAAGTCAAACGCTCCAGCCGCGGACACCCGCGGACCCCGGCGGACGACCGCGGACAAGAGCAACTATGACAAGATCTGCGATTCCGTGCTCAGCTCCCGCTGTGCAATTTCCATCCAGGACAATTCTCGCAGAAGAGTCTTGGCTGGCGGAGTCAGTGCTGCCAACAAACCTCGCACGGAGGTCGCGGCAAAGCCAAAAAAATCACGATTGAGCTTCTTCTGATTCAGCACCTTTGGCCAAATCTCAGGGTCCAAGTCTGGCACTCTGCACTTGAACCACTTGATGCCTTTACCTCCGCTTGGGAGGTCATGCCACGTTCCAGACCAAGCGCAATGCAACAAGTCCGCCAATCGGCTTAGGGCAACTCGATCTTGCTCAGCCATGCGAGGACTGTGCACAACTGTGGCCAAAGCATCGAGCACCATGTCTTGCTCGGGCTGTGTCAGCGGATGCGTGGAGAGAATCTGCAAACCTTCCTCTGTCGCTCCAAAATTTTCCTGCTGCATTTGCGCGCCTCAGTGAGTAAACGGCACCTGAGATCCAAAACAGCTGCGGCAAACAAAATGCGAAACGGTTGATGGCGTGTAAAGCAGGGTCACGCGCCAAGCAACTTTTTTTCACGTAGCTGGCTGTTAGTCATGGGATCCTTATACGCGGCTCCACTACAGCTACCACACTTTGCAAATCGTGGTGCGTGACAAAGAAGCTTAAAAAAAAAAGCTACTCTTGAACCAAAAACACATGGAATTGTTATCGGTTTCAGCTTCTCCATCGAGGCAAGTTTATGAAGGTGTGAAAACGCACGGCGGCTAGTCTGCACGACCGCTCCTGTCGCGCTCACAGCAGTCCTTCTTCTTGACACAGCTTGGTGCCATGCAGCCTCTCAGGCAATGCTGATCTCAAAGGTCCCGGGGCCAGTGCGGCGCACACGCGCGCGGCGCGGCTCCTCTTCCCCAGACGAAGGAGGCGAATCCCGACGTCGACGATGGCGCTGCGGCAGCGAGGGAGATGGGCATGGCCGCTTCTTCAACTTCTTCTCCTTCTTATGTTTTTTGGCACGTGACTTGTCCTTCTCGATCTTTTCCTTTTTTTCCTTGCGATTCTTCTTCTCACGAAGCTCGACCTTGTGCTCCCTGTGCTCTGCAGTCTTCAATGCAGGGGCGCGCTTTGGTTCTGGAGGCGGCGGTGGAGGCGGCCGGCTCCCTGATGACGGCGCCCCCGCAGGAGGGATGTCGTCTTCCCTGCCCATTTTCGTTTGCATTGCCCAGTTGCGTGCCTGTGTCCATGTGGCGCCACCACGCAGGTAACGTTGCCATGTCAAGCAATGCATGTTGTAGTATTGATGCTGGTCGCGACCGCTCGGAAAACTACTGCAAGCTTGCCAGCAATACTGACACACCGAGCGATCTTTCCCCTTCCCTTTTCCCTTTCCAGGCCCATCTGCTGGGACAACTTCAGCAGCAGAGCCTCCCTTACCACTCGGGTTGGGTGCCGTCTCCGACTCTGATGTTCCTGTGGTCGGAGAAGGCGGCCTTGCTTTAGATTTAGCAGCAGTGCCCACTACTTCCTCCGTCACACTTTCCTCACTGCTGCTTTCCGTGAATTCCGGCCCCGCAGGCCCCATAGCGTCACCGGTCCTGCAAGCAATCACACATCAAATATTTCAACAGCACAAATTAGACAAGGCAAGCACAAAAGGAAATATGGTCCTGACCAGAAGCCACGGCTCTTTGTTTGCCGTCCCTAACGCGCGTATCAGTTTGAGCCCCATTGCTGCATTGCATGATATATGTGCATGTACACCTGAAACCTCGAGCCACACCTATTGACGCCTTGCCCTCAACCGAGAAGTTAGCTGCTCCTTTTTTTCCGCGAGGCACGCGTTCGAAAGTCTTTTGTTGCTAGCACACAGTTGTCAACAACACAACTCTATATATTTGTGGTGTTATATTCCTTTCTACCAACTAAAAACTGGAAACAACTATGCTGCAACTCTGTACATACAAAAAAAGCTACGCCGAATTAGTTGCCTGGGAGCCATGCTGCAGCTGCACCCCGCAGGTGCGGCGTGAGATCTTATGTCACTCAGACTTCGATCATCATGAGAGCACCCCGCAGGTGCGGCGTGAGATCTGATCACTTAGACTTCGATCATCGTGAGACCACCCCGCAGGCGCAGCGCGAGATCTGATGTCACTTAGACTTCAGTTTCATCATGAGGTACTCTCCATCCCTGCGACGAACAATTCTGGGCTCATAGCCATCGCGGGAGTCATTGCTGGGCGGGCGCCTTCGCTCACGCTTGATCACCGGCGATGGCGTCCTGCGCTTCTTCTCCCTCTGGCGTCTCTTGCGATCTTTCTTCTCCTTCATCTCATATTCAGCAGGTGCAAGACAGCGCGCGGCTGTACATGCTTTGCTGGTGACGCCTCTCACGGCGATCTTTTTGCCTCTGAGCTCCTTCTCCTGCTTCTTCCCATGTGATGCCGCCACGATTGTATCGCTGCCAACGCAGGCATATATAGTTCCAGTATTCATGCTGCTGCACAGCGCTGCTAAAGGTTGATGTTCTCTGCCAGCAATGCGGGCAATGTCGAAACGACTGGGTCCAGCCTTTTCCCTTGCCCTTGCCTTTCGCCGCAGGCGACCAACTTTCTGTTACATCACGCCTCACAGGCGCTACGCTGCGGGTTTCTGGCCGGCCCCTGTGACCACTAGATGCCGCACGCGGCGGACTTCCAGAGCCGCTTCGCGCGGCTGGATCTGGTGGCGGCGCAGCCCGCGACTTAGCGCTGGCAGCCGGCGCAGATTCTTCTTCCACACTCTCATAGCTGCTGTCGCTGTCAGACATGTCACCTGCAGGGACAAAGTTTTTCCCACGGTTTCCCCGTCAGAACTTTCTTCCAAGTCAAACAGCAAACATAAAAACCCCAGCCTGAGCGTCACGACCAGCGCAAGCCAGCCGATGCCACCCCTATAGCTGATAGCCAAAACAGCTGCTACAGATATATGCGAAGTGTGCAAATGTTCAAAACGAAAAAATGTGAAGAACAGCCCCTTCTATAAAGAAATATTATAATTGTTGTGTATATACATATATATATATAGCTTTTTTTCTGATTCTCCCAACCGGTTTGCAACATTGCTTTATTTTTTCACCCCGCCATTTTGAAGTCAGCCAAAAGTCAAAATTGGAGTATCCCTGACTCCATTCAGTGAAAGCCGCGCTTGTGCCAGCAGGACGTACAGCACTCAGGTCTCCACCTGCATGTTGGGCACCCATCCTTGTACTGCTTCCTCAACTTTGCTGGAATGCTCGCCAGAAGACGTGCCCGACACTCCGCACGGGAATGCTGTGCTCGTGACCCCGCAGGTCGATGACGCCCCTCGGGCTGTGCGACAGATCCCGCAGATCTCTCCCCGCGCCCCGCAGGCGCCTCGCGCAACCCCGCAGGTCGCTTCATGCCTTTTGCCTTCTTCATCTTCTTATCTCCCTGTCACCCCGCAGGCCTCTTAGCAATTTTCTTTACCTTTTTGCCACTCGGGCGCTTCATCGGCGCAGAATTTTTCTCTGTCTTTTCCGCCGGCTCAGCTGCGCCAAGACCCATTGTGTCACGCAAGGTCTGCAACTCAGACGCCATGACACCATCGCCATTTGAAGGCGCATCACCTGCCTCCGCCCTCAATGCCGCGACGCCGCCAGTGCCCTCGGCATTTGGCAACTCACAGCGATCAACTTCCCCCGCAGGTTCCACAGAACCATTAGTCAACGCTAGCAAAGGCACTTTTGGACGCGCCACTGCCTCGCGAGCAGTTGAACGATCAGAATCTGCTGGTTGCGACGCACGCATTCCAGAAGCCATAGCGGCCATCATCTGCCCCATAGCATGCCACACCTGCGCTTCAGCAGACGAACCTGACTGCGAAGATATACCGTTCAACTGCTGGCGGCCATTGTTTGCCATCAAATTTGTCTTCCTCAGAGGGAAACGATTCAAAGCCAAAAATGCACTGTCCAAATTGAGCCCCGCAGGCAAACCCGGCACGCGGCCAGTTGGAAATGCCACGGCACGCAGCACGTCAGGCAAAGCTTCCACATCAGTTGGTAACTCCGTCAAGTATACCGCAGGGGGTGGCAAACCACTCAGCCACTTCTTAATTTTTGCTTTATATTCCTGCAGACATTGATACTTCAGATGATCCGAAACTTCTTGCCCACGAAAAGCACAACAGGCAATCCACACAATGCAGGCTGTAGTGGTTTCTGATGGACATCGAAGCCCCAGAGAACCAGCTAATGACACTGCCTTTTCCACCCTTTCTTGCTGTGACTCATTTGTCTGCATGAAAGTCCACTGGTCTTGTGTCAAATAGCGCGGCAAGGCGCAATAGTTCTGCAGTGGGCGGCGTGTTCCCTGCATCCCCTCGGAGGTGATCTTCTGAGTGATGGCGCTTTTCAAAGTCACAAGATCCTGCTCAGACCACACTGATCCATCTAAACTATCCACCAGTTCAGAAGCTGGACCAATCTGGATCGATGAACTTTTGCCAATCAAACCCAAAAGGTGCGACAAGTGTTTGTCCTTCAGCTGCTGAAAAGACGGCAAAGTCTTCAAACTCAGCAAAAGTTTCTGCGTGGCTTTCACGTTCTTTTCCATTGAAACCCAAAAGCGAGACTTAAGCCAAAAAAGCTGCCTATATTGAGTAATGATCTACAGGAAAAAAAAAGTACAATTTTCAAAAAAAACATAAGTCCATAAGTTCATCATAAGTACATCCAACTTGATCTCATTTCAACAACATAACTAACTTACAACTTCACAACTCACATATAATTTGGGCAAAAAAACAATGAACTTACGCTGAAGATACGAACATATATCATATGTTAAAGGCCCATAACATATATTATAACTCTTTTAGAATTGAAATATATGTTCACAAGTTCCACGCAGGTGCAAAGTGGGATCTCCAGCAGACTCTCAAGAAGCTTAAGAGAGGTAAAACCCCCGGCTTCAACCAGATCCCCACTGATGTGCTCAAGGCTGGAGCTGCTCCGCTTTGCCATCAACTTTGTGCGCTTACCACGAAGGTCGTCGCACATTGTAAAGAGCCATTCGTTGACTTGGAAAGGTGGGCAATTGATACCGTTGTCCAAAGGCAAGAATTATGCCACGGACCCCATGGGATACCGAAGTATCTTCATCAGTGACTTCACGGCAAAGATGTTCCATATGACGTTGCGGTCCTACCTCGTTGAAGTTTGGGAGCAAGGACTCCAGTCTTTACAACTCGGTGGTCGCAGACGTATGGGTGTTGACTTTGCCCATCAGTTTCTGCAAGCGCACCGTCATTGGACACAGGTTCGACGCCTTCCCAGCGCCTACCTTTTCTTTGACATCAAGTCAGCCTTCTACAGTGTATTAAGGCAAGCCCTTTTTCCTTGTGAAGAGCGACCCCTGTCTCTGATTGCTGCCTTGCGACGCTTCCGCATCGGCATCGAGGACATTGACTCTATGCTGACGGCTGTTCAATCAGATGATGCTACAGCTGGTGTTTCTGACCATTTCCGACTGTTGCTCAAGGATGCCCTGACCAACACGCACTTCTTCATCCAAGGATTGGATACCCCGTGTCAGACCCATCGGGGGACAAGACCGGGAGATCCCCTGGGCGATCTGCTGTACAACATGGTGATGGCGCTGGTCATGAAAGACGCGAGAGATGTCACTGCTGGGCGTACAGGAGCAGCCTGGATTGGAGCTCCTGCCTCCTGTGCTGACTTCACGCAGGAGATTGTGCTCCCGGTGCCTGCCTTCTTGGATTTGGCTTTTGTGGATGATTGCGCAGTCGCCATCCATGCAGGAGAGTATGCACAAGTGGTGCACATTGTTCAATCAGCAGTTGGTCCTGGAGCAATGGATCAGGCGGCAAAACAGCGAGGTTTGCTGCTCAACTACGCCCCGGGCAAAACAGAAGTCATTCTCAATGTTAGAGTTGCTGGCTCCACTGCAGCCAAGGTTGACTTACACGCGGCTGGTTCCAGACTTCACTGGGAGATGGATGAGACCCTCTATACACCTTGCGAGTTGTCTCCTGCTACAAGCACCTCGGCACATGGCTTCAGCAGGGTACCAAAACTACAAAGGAAGCTACCCATCGCGGGGCTGTCGCACGGCAAAGTTGGGGTCCCCTGCACCGATTCTATGGAAAACGGTATGTGGCCCTCAAGACCAAGATGGCTCTGTTCCAGACCCTGACGATGACACGGCTCTTGTACAACGCCTACATCTGGTCCCCATGCCCTCCGGACACCTTGAAGTCCTGGCAGAATGCCATCAGAAAGCCTTTAGGCCGGTCACACGATGGGAGTTTCCTCACTCTTGCTGGATGTCCCTACATTGTGTGGGTTGCTTCATGTGCTACCTCCGGAAGATCTCTTACATCTTGCACGACTTCGCTACTTGAAGCGGTTTCTCAACAGTTGCCCACCGGTTCTTTGGCAGATGTTAGTTGACACGGCCCAAGCTCCTGACTCCTGGATGCAGGCATGCAGTTCTTCATTGCAGTGGTTTAGGCAGTTTTACTCAGATCACTTTGCCGCACCAGACTCAGACGATTTACGTGACTGGCTTCCGTTGATTCGACTTGATCCCAGCTGGCACGGAAGAGTGCGTGCTGCTGGTAAAGCATGTCGTTGGTACCGGCAGGCTTGTGCCGAAAGTACCACTTGGAACAAGCAGTTTGATGAGTCCTTCGTGAACCAAGGAGGAGTCTTGCCCAGTCGGCAAACTATTGCCCAGGAGCGATGGGCATGTGATCAATGTGAGAAATGGTGCTTGTCCAAACGGGCCCTTGCCTCTCACTCTGCACGGGTTCATGGATACCGCCACCTCGTGCTCTTCTATGCCACTGGCGAGGTCTGTCACAGCTGCTGTCGATGGTACCACAACAGAAGTCGGTTAGTAGAGCATTTGCGGGATGCCACCCGTTGCATGGAAACTCTGCAGGCTTGTTTTCCACCCATATCTGAGGAGCAGTTAGCAGCTTATGACATGGAGGAGCATGAGGCAACGGCTCTGTTGAAGAGAGATGGATGGGGTGCTACCAAAGCTTTGTGCCCTATGCGAAGAGTTCATGGACCTTCTCTACCACCGCCTGCTTCAGAGGAGGCCAAGATCATGCACGACAAGTACGCAGAGCGTCTTGCATCCCCTGGCCATGGTTTTGCTCGCCTTCAAGGTCGACGCGAAGCACCTGCGCAACAGGAGAGTCGCGTGCATCTTTTTGCCGAGGACTTCCCTGCGTTTGTGTTCAATACCCCTGAAGGTTTCCAGTTAGGAAATGGCAGGTATGATCAGGCCGGATTGGCGCGTGAGTACGCGATGCTTCATGTGCGCTCCCTGGTGTTCGTGCACTTCTTTTCTGGATACCGCCGAGAACAAGATCTCCACCAGCAGCTCGAGCACCGCAGCATTGCGCCTGGACTGGAAATTTTCGTCATATCGGTGGATCTATGTCTTCAACGAGAGCAAGGAAATTTGGTTTCGCCTGCTGCGCATGCTTTCTGGGCCCGCCACATAAGGTCCGGCCAAGTGGTCGGCGCTGGAGGCGGGCCGCCGTGCGAGACCTACTCGGCGGCCCGCCAGTAGGACAACGGGCCGAGGGCATTGCGTAGCGAAGCCTTCCCCTGGGGCCTGCCCTCTTTGAAGCCACGGGAGTGGAAGCAAGTGCTGGTGGGCACGCGCTTGCTACACTTTTTGCTGTCCGTCATCCTTCTCCTGGCGCAGGTTGGTGGATGCGGCTTTTGTGAACTTGGCTGTTGGAAAGGGGGCCAGCGAGCATTTGGCTCCACCCCGCCATCAGAGCGCTTCGGCTCCTACGGTGCATCGGGATCACGTCCTTCGATCAATGTTCTTTTGGGGCGGATGCGACCAAGCCGACGACAGTGCCTACGTCTTCTGGGCTTCCGAAAGCGAGTGATGGCAACCGGAAATTGCGGCAGGTGCCAACGGCACCGGAGCGCATGAACAATTAAAAGGGCATGCAGAAGACGGGTCATTCCGCACTGCTAAGTGCAAGGTTTACCCGCCTGCGCTCAATAGAGCTCTTGCAGATGCAGTTTTCGAGTTCACCCAGCACTTTTGCTGGATGCACCGTGGACCCCGAAATCGCATCAGAGCTTTTGGCCTTCAATCACTCAGATTTTGTGGCTCATGATCAGGTACAACCTGACTACTATGAGCATTGTGTCCAGGTGTGATGAAGGCTGTTTCACCATCTTTATGGGTCACAGATCCAGCATGAGACCAAGTGCAGACCTGCACAGCAGCCCGAAAAAAAAAACATGTATTTATGTATGTATGTATGTATGTATGTACGTATGTATGTATGTATGTATGTATGTACGTACGTATGTATGTATGTATGTATGTATGTTTCAATTTCTTACTTCGTTTTGTATGAAATTTGACCGCTTTTGATCTCACAAAGGAGCCTCGGTGATATCAAGTGATAAAAGCGTGAAACAGATCATTAAAAACCATCGTAAATAGGCGCAGAACTTGATGAAAAGCACGAAAAACGATGAAAAAACGATCGTAGTTAGGTGCAGTGATCAGATTCTGACATTTTTTTTCGTCGACCCTTACAGTAAAAAAATGAGGTCGAGGCTCCAAAATGCAGGTAAAAATCAAAAAAAATGAAAAAATCGGATTTCCCGCTAACGCGCGCACTATGATACACTCTTATATTAAAATTAAATAAACAAATGCCCCCTCCCCCCCAAAAAAAAATGCAATTTTCATTTTTTCTTTTGATTTATACACATACATTGTTTTAAAGCTATTAAAATTTAGAGGTATGACTTTTTTGTTTTCCACTTTGTTTCCCAGTGTATTCCCCGTTGTAGTCCCCCGTTGCGTTCCCCCGGGTGGATGGGTCGAAGTCCTCGGGCCAGCCTTTCCGCCAACGCGCCCGGACTTCGACCCATCCACCCGGGACTTCGACCCATCCACCCGGGGGAACACAACGGGGAAAAGTAACGGGGAAAAATAACGAAGACAACGGGGAAAATTAATTTGAAAAATGAAAAGTTGATCTATTTCTAATACATGCTTTTCCTACATGTTTTCAATTGTGTTTGAGGTATCAACTGACATAAATTCTGACATTTCAAGGGTATGAAATGGCATATATTCTGGCATTTAGACGGCATTAACTTACATATATTCTGACATTCAAGTTTGAAAATTGTGATAAATCGCAGATCTAAAATCCAAATTCTAAAAAACATTTATATCTGAAATCCCAAACTTGAATGCTAAATAACATCCAAAATCTCAATCTACAATCCAAATTTGAAATGAAATCTCAAATCCAAACAGAAACTAATTTTCGCAAAATGGTTCGAAACATGGAAAGGTCTCAGCGCCAAAACTCCAAAAAAGAATACTTACCGGGGTAATTCTTTTGGTAGTCAATTTCTTTGAAAAATGAGCTGTTGATTGGTTTTCCTATGTTTTCAAGTATGTTGGAGGTAGTAACTGAAATACATTAACTAATAACAAATGAATGACATGTATGAATATCTATATGATTATTTCATATCCATTGGTCCATTGGTATGCCCAATGTCTGATGTGGTGCCAGGCCTGGCTGAATGTGAAAAACAAGTTCACCTTCGAGGAGGCTTGCGCCTTCTTCAGCGTCCTGGCGCCAACCCGATCAGCTGGAGGTGAGTGCATGCGATAGCGATAGTGTCATCTTCCAGCTCAAAATTGGATGCAGTAGTCGCTATTTAAGAATCACAATGATACCTATGATATCAAAAGTGGAGAGGCTGGAACAATTCATGTTGACCTGACTGAAGCCCACTTTCTGCTTAATTACTTGAAAGAAAATATTGTTTTTTTCGCAAATTTGTGGCGCTGGGCTGGACTGTCGGGATGCGAACTTCGATGCATAATCTAGCTAGGAAAGGCACAATGCTAATATACACTAAAATGATGTTGTGGATCGCGGGGCCCCCAATGATGTCAGCTTAAATGGTCCAAACATGTTTTTGATTTTGCAAGTCATTGGATCCCTCATTCGTCCTGGCCCCGTGAATCCCATCAGCTGGGCTGCCTGGACCGAACACAGGGCCCAGGGCATTTGATTCCTGCACCTGCACGGGGCAAAACTGGGAACCAAGAGTCTGGGTGGGTCATGGAACCTTAAGAAAAGGTATACTGATATTTTTTGGAACTACATTGCATGAAGAAAAGTTGATCATCGCATGCTACCACTACAGAGCTGGACGTCCAGGTCTGATGGTGTAGAGGTGAGGCAGCGCAACAGGTGTTTGAAACTGACTCAGCGCTGACAAAGTTATTAATTTAGTCACATATTTCGATTTCACATGTTTGGCAGTTCAGAGCCGGACGTCCGGCTCTGTATTAAGGGATTGCGCACTCGTTTCTTTGCACATTACCAATTCCAGACCCTGAGTGTTGAGTCTGCTTTTGCAGCGTTTTTGAGTTTTCAGCTATCGGATTTAGTAGTGACTGACCTAACTACCATGCCCGCTCGCACGAACCAGCGGAAGAGGGCGGCAGAGGATGAAGTTGCGGTAGCCAAGGCGGCTGCAAAGAGGGCCGCAAAGGCCGCGAAGGTGATGCAAGGAGTGGCCGATGCTTCTTCAGCCAGCCAGTTGGCGATCAATTCGACCTTGCAGGCTTACCTTTGTGAATGTGATGCCAAAATCAAAGATTTCTTCAAGGATTCCATGGATGGGCCTCCCACAAACTTCTCGGGACTTCCAGTGTATGATCCAGTGGCTGCAACTCAAGCCCTTTCATCAGGAAACAAGTACACATCTTCAGCACCTTTGTTTTGGATCAACACATCATACGAACTCCAACCAAACGTTCCGAAATACAGGAAACGTTTGGAAAGTTTGCGGGATCACTTCTTTTCCCAACCTACGGCCTATCCAGAGACCATTCTGGTGTCTATGGCCAAAGGGGAGATTCCACATAAATGCAAGGGTGCTTTGAAGGCAGTCAGCATCCCGGAGCTTCGGGACTCCCTCCGCCTTGCCGTGGCTGAGTCGACTCAGGATCCAGATGTACCAAGGAAAGTGAAGATGGCATGGAAAGATGTGTTGATGTCTGTCCCCTTCACCTTTGAGGAGGGGCTGGGGCCGAGTTTCGGGGTGGACAGTGAAGGGGATGGTTACCTGCCAAACTTTAGCAGGGAGGCCCAATAAATTTAGGGATGCTTATTATTGACCCTCTAAAACAAGAACCATTCCATCATTCTCGCACCGGAAGATGCCATAGCAATCTTATCTCTGACTATGCACTATGCTCCTTCTTCGCACCAGGTCATGGACGAGCATATAGCGATGTGGAGCTGGCTTTTCGCACGGTGGTCCAGGCAAGAGAAGATGTGGTCGTCAAGAAGGAAAACATGATGACGACGTCATTGATGCGAATCTACGAAGTCATCGACTTCAAAAAAAGGATGGAACAGATTGTCGGCAAACAAGGCAAAACTGCCTTGGTGGAGAAGTATGCCAAGGTGCAGTACGCAAAGGGCTCTGAGGTGGTCAAGCCGAGCTTCATAGAGGTGGCTTGCATGCTGCACGGCAGCTGCCTGTCGATTCCCAAAGTTGCCGCAACTTTGATGCAGCTCGATGAACAGGCATTGAACCCACTGGACTCCATTTACAAGCTCAGGGAAGTTTGTATCCAGTGCGACAAACGTGAACCATTGCAAATCTGGTGCTTCACTATGATTGCTGATTCCTGGCTGCGTACCGACGGCCGCGACCCGATCCCGATTCGGGCATTGGGGAGTGAGACTTCTGAGAGTGTCTCCATGGTCAAGCTGTTTCTGTTCAAGAAGCAGCTGAGAGACTATCTTTGGAAAGAGATGGACTCCAACTACACGGTTTGGGATGCTGCCATCCGCTCAGAGATCCGAAGAGTCACAGAGTCCTTGGAGGCTTGCCGCACTTGCTTGGGCTACTTCAATGCCACGAAGGACTCGGGCAATGCAGATGAAGATGTGAAGGCTTTGAAGGGTCGTGCGCAGTGGCCAGCAAGCGCAGACTCTTTTCTGGTGGTTATGGAGGCTTTGGTCTTCTCATATGGCCATGACTCGGTCATCAGCCAGCAGCTCCGAAATCGCCGAAGCATCGAAGACATTCTGAACCATACTGACATCAGGCTGGGTGGTGGTCTTTTTTTTGGGATTCAACTTCACTTCATGGTTTCAATGGTATCAAGATAAGATGTTATGGTTTAAACTTTCATTTATTTTCCAATTCGTTGGGCCGACCACCAAAACAATGGAGAAATGCTACGCAAATGCTGTTCTGGGTTTGTTTTTGGCACCAATCCAACAGGAAAATTACAATATCATGGTATCAATGACTTTTTCCAAAGTTCAAATTATGTTATTTCATTTGATGTTTTTGCTAAATTTGATTGCTATTATAGGTCATGTCATTCTTTTTTATATCCTACGGTGGGTGGAAGAAATCCTGCACCACCTCTATAAGCTTACATTTGCTAATGCATAACTTGTACCCCCGCACCCCCAAGCTCAATGTTGAAAGACATGTTAGCAGGTGGTGCAGGATTTCCGTCACTCGCACAAATCCATGTTGATCACTGTGTCTTCAAACAATAATAAATTAGGAGCGCGAGGTTTCAAGTGTAGGCCTTTGAAAGTGGTGCAGGATTTCTTCCATCAACGGTACTGAAATTTTATATCCCTGGGTGAAGAACTGCAAAGAAGCAGTGGGCAGAAGCTGAAGGATGTTTTGGCCATTATGCAGTAGCCGGTCAGATCAGTAATGCGTGAATTAAAAGTCATGGAGCCTGCTGCATTTAAATTTGATTATATTGCAACACAAGCTGGGCAAAGCAGCGCTGGCATGCCAGAAAATGGTTGCCGGACCAGGAGGAAGGAGGAAGCAGAATCCTTTTCAAAGAAGCTCATGAAAGTGACCAGCGTTGCGTGGCAGCCCCACGCAACACTACACGCTACACTACACGCAACACTACACGCTACACTACACGCAACACTACCGAACTTTTGGCAGGGGCCGCATTTTGGAGCTTTGATGCTTTTAAGGAATGAAATGAAAATACAAGACGATTTTTCTGTCCTGACCCGAAATGCTGCCCCTGGCAGCATTTCGGCAGTGTTGCGTGTAGTGTTGCGTGTAGTGTAGCGTGGGTGTTGCGGGTGGTTTGCAGTGTTGCGTGCGGCTGAAGCACACTGGGGGAACTATGAGAAGAACCGACGATGGAATTGATCCCCTGGAAGTAGCTGACGGCGGGAAGAAATTTGCAAGACCAAATATACAAAAATTCCTTTTTTTTCTTCGGTGGGTGGAAGAAATCCTGCACCACCTCTATAAGCTTACATTTGCTAATGCATAACTTGTACCCCCGCACCCCCAAGCTCAATGTTGAAAGACATGTTAGCAGGTGGTGCAGGATTTCCGTCACTCGCACAAATCCATTTTGATCACTGTGTCTTCAAACAATAATAAATTAGGAGCGCGAGGTTTCAAGTGTAGGCCTTTGAAAGTGGTGCAGGAATTCTTCCATCAACAGTACTGAAATTTTATATCCCTGGGTGAAGAACTGCAACGAAGCAGTGGGCAGAAGCTGAAGGATGTTTTGGCCATTATGCAGTAGCCGGTCAGATCAGTAATGCTTGAATTAAAAGTCATGGAGCCTGCTGCATTAAAATTTGACTATATTGCAACACAAGCTGGGCAAAGCAGCGCTGGCATGCCAGAAAATGGTTGCCGGACCAGGAGGAGGGAGGAAGCAGAATCCTTTTCAAAGAAGCTCATGAAAGTGACCAGCGTTGCGTGGCAGCCCCACGCAACACTACACGCTACACTACACGCAACACTACACGCTACACTACACGCAACACTACCGAACTGCTGGCAGGGGCAGCATTTTGGAGCTTTGATGCTTTTAAGGAATGAAATGAAAATACAAGACGATTTTTCTGTCCTGACCCGAAATGCTGCCCCTGGCAGCATTTCGGCAGTGTTGCGTGTAGTGTTGCGTGTAGTGTTGCGTGTAGTGTTGCGTGTAGTGTAGCGTGGGTGTTGCGGGTGGTTTGCAGTGTTGCGTGCGGCTGAAGCACACTGGTGGAACTATGAGAAGAACCGACGATGGAATTGATCCCCTGGAAGTAGCTGACGGCGGGAAGAAATTTGCAAGACCAAATATACAAGAATTCCTTTTTTTCTTCGTACTGAAATTTTATATCCCTGGGTGAAGAACTGCAACGAAGCAGTGGGCAGAAGCTGAAGGATGTTTTGGCCATTATGCAGTAGCCGGTCAGATCAGTAATGCGTGAATTAAAAGTCACGGAGCCTGCTGCATTTAAATTTGACTATATTGCAACACAAGCTGGGCAAAGCAGCGCTGGCATGCCAGAAAATGGTTGCCGGACCAGGAGGAGGGAGGAAGCAGAATCCGTTTCAAAGAAGCTCATGAAAGTGACCGGTGTTGCGTGGCAGCCCCACGCAACACTACACGCTACACTACACGCAACACTACACGCTACACTACACGCAACACTACCGAACTGCTGGCAGGGGCCGCATTTTGGAGCTTTGATGCTTTTAAGGAATGAAATTAAAATACAAGACAATTTTTCTGTCCTGACCCGAAATGCTGCCCCTGGCAGCATTTCGGCAGTGTTGCGTGTAGTGTAGCGTGTAGTGTTGCGTGTAGTGTAGCGTGGGTGTTGCGGGTGGTTCGCAGTGTTGCGTGCGGCGGCTGCCATGTAGCTTATTTTGCCTCGTTCTCAGCTGTGTGCAGGTGAAGGGTGAAGCACACTGGGGGAACTATGAGAAGAACCGACGATGAAATTGATCCCCTGGAAGTAGCTGACGGCCGAAAGAAATTTGCAAGACCAAATATACAAGAATTCCTTCTTTTCTTCGTGCTGAAATTTTATGTCCCTGGGTGAAGAACTGCAAAGAAGCAGTGGGCAGAAGCTGAAGGATGTTTTGGCCATTATGCAGTAGCCGGTCAGATCAGTAATGCGTGAATTAAAGGTCATGGAGCCTGCTGCATTTAAATTTGACTATATTGCAACACAAGCTGGGCAAAGCAGCGCTGGCATGCCAGAAAATGGTTGCCGGACCAGGAGGAGGGAGGAAGCATAATCCTTTTCAAAGAAGCTCATGAAAGTGACCAGCGTTGCGTGGCAGCCCCACGCAACACTACACGCTACACTACACGCTACACTACACGCAACACTACCGAACTGCTGGCAGGGGCCGCATTTTGGAGCTTTGATGCTTTTAAGGAATGAAATGAAAATACAACACGATTTTTCTGTCCTGACCCGAAATGCTGCCCTGGCAGCATCGGCAGGGTTTGCGTGTAGTTGTTGCTGTAGTTTTGCGTGGGTGTGCGGGTGGTTGCAGTGTTGCGTGCGGCGGAAGCACACTGGGGGAACTATAAGAAGAACGGACGATGGATTTGATCCCCTGGAAGTAGCTGGTGACGGGAAGAAATTTGCAAGACCAAAAATACAAGAAATCCTTGTCTTTCTTCGGTGGGTGGAAGAAATCCTGCACCACCTCTATAAACTTAGGTTTGCTAATGCATAACTTGTACCCCCGTACCCCCAAGCTCAATGTTGAATGACATGTTTACAGGTGGTGCAGGATTTCCGTCACTCGCGCAAATTCATTTTGATCACTGTGTCTTCAATCAATATTAAATTAGGAGCGCGAGGTTTCAAGTGTAGGCCTTTGAAAGTGGTGCAGGATTTCTTCCATCAACAGTACTGAAATTTTATATCCCTGGGTGAAGAACTGCAACGAAGCAGTGGGCAGAAGCTGAAGGATGTTTTGGCCATTATGCAGTAGCCGGTCAAATCAGTAATGCTTGAATTAAAAGTCACGGAGCCTGCTGCATTTAAATTTGACTATATTGCAACACAAGCTGGGCAAAGCAGCGCTGGCATGCCAGAAAATGGTTGCCGGACCAGGAGGAGGGAGGAAGCAGAATCCTTTTCAAAGAAGCTCATGAAAGTGACCAGTGTTGCGTGGCAGCCCCACGCAACACTACACGCCACACTACACGCAACACTACACGCTACACTACACGCAACACTACCGAACTGCTGGCAGGGGCCGCATTTTGGAGCTTTGATGCTTTTAAGGAATGAAATGAAAATACAAGACGATTTTTCTGTCCTGACCCGAAATGCTGCCCCTGGCAGCATTTCGGCAGTGTTGCGTGTAGTGTAGCGTGTAGTGTTGCGTGTAGTGTAGCGTGGGTGTTGCGGGTGGTTCGCAGTGTTGCGTGCGGCGGCTGCCATGTAGCTTATTTTGCCTCGTGCTCAGCTGTGTGCAGGTGAAGGGTGAAGCACACTGGGGGAAATATGAGAAGAACCGACGATGAAATTGATCCCCTGGAAGTAGCTGACGGCCGAAAGAATTTTGCAAGACCAAATATACAAGAATTCCTTTTTTCTTCGTGCTGAAATTTTATGTCCCTGGGTGAAGAACTGCAAAGAAGCAGTGGGCAGAAGCTGAAGGATGTTTTGGCCATTATGCAGTAGCCGGTCAGATCAGTAATGCTTGAATTAAAGGTCATGGAGCCTGCTGCATTTAAATTTGACTATATTGCAACACAAGCTGGGCAAAGCAGCGCTGGCATGCCAGAAAATGGTTGCCGGACCAGGAGGAGGGAGGAAGCAGAATCCTTTTGAAAGAAGCTCATGGAGGTGACCAGCGTTGCGTGGCAGCCCCACGCAACACTACACGCTACACTACACGCAACACTACACGCTACACTACACGCAACACTACCGAACTGCTGGCAGGGGCCGCATTTTGGAGCTTTGATGCTTTTAAGGAATGATATGAAAATACAAGACGATTTTTCTGTCCTGACCCGAAATGCTGCCCCTGGCAGCATTTCGGCAGTGTTGCGTGTAGTGTTGCGTGTAGTGTTGCGTGTAGTGTTGCGTGTAGTGTAGCGTGGGTGTTGCGGGTGGTTTGCAGTGTTGCGTGCGGCTGAAGCACACTGGGGGAACTATGAGAAGAACTGACGATGGAATTGATCCCCTGGAAGTAGCTGACGGCGGGAAGAAATTTGCAAGACCAAATATACAAGAATTCCTTTTTCTTCTTCGGTGGGTGGAAGAAATCCTGCACCACCTCTATAAGCTTACATT